ATATTTATTTTACTCTATATATATAGACTTATTTTTCTAAAGAAAGAGTAACTTGTCGAAAGTGTCAATCTAAACATAGTTCAATTAGTTAAGACATCTGATCAAAATATCATGAGTTTGGACCCCCATCCACATTGTACTAAAAAATAATAGTCGAGAGTAGATAACCACTTTAACCTTGAAGAAAATTTGATGGCTAAATATCGAGGAGAGCTAACCAACAAAGATATTTTCAATTAGAATAAGCAAACCTATTATTGTAAGTAGAATGGGAGTTCCACGTAAAATTAGTTAACCGATGTATGAATATGACTCACAATTTTTTGTAAGCTTCAATTTGTATAGTTTTGAGATAGAATAACATGAGTTATGCAACAAGAAGTAGAATGGTAAAAGAATAAGAGTGTGTTTGTGAGTGATGCTGTAAGAAGTGATTTTGAAAAAGAAAAAAGATTTAAGAATAATTAATTTTTCAAAATCGTCACCTTAAAAATCAATTTCAAGTGATTTTTGTGTGTTTTCCTAAAATCAATTTTTTAATTTGATCAATGGAAATGAAAGTGATATGGCCCTGACAAAATCACTCCCAAACACACCCTAAAATATCATTAGGAGGAAAATAATTTTATGTAATATATCATGTAATTTGATTTACGGATTTATAATTTGTGAATTAAAGAAAATGAATCTTAGAAGTAGGTTTTAAAAATCTTGATTTGCATAGATCATTAGATTGATGTAGTCTATAAAATTAGCATATCTATAATATCTAAGATTAATTAATAATTCACATATTAAATATAGGCTTATTTTATAATATTAGACGATTATACAAATTTAAACCTATGAGATGTACATAACAGTAGTATACAATATGCTAATTTTTCACTAATTTTTTTAATGTTATTTATTTTATGATCATCCTAAACTTTGATGGATCAAAGGTTATTGGCTTTTTTTCTGTTGACTTTTGAGCTATTTGTTAATTAATAGAGATATCTAACTTTTGAGCTATTTTTCTTGTATATAATCAAAATCCAAAATCATCACTCAACTAGACTTGAATAATATTATATCAATTTTACAAATTGAAACTTATTTTCAATCCAATCATTTATTAGTTTTGAGTTTTTTAAAAATTCATTTATTTAGATGCAATTACAATTCTCCAAATTTTAGTTAATTTAATTTTAAATCATATTATAGTCGTGAACATTTATATTTATTCTATTAAGATTCATAAACTATGCTTTTTTTTTTACTTCTTTGAATCTACTTTAAAGTCATTTTAGTCCGTTAATTTTACTACATACGTTTATTATTCATTTACCTTATAAATATAACGTCATATGTAGTACTTTTAAATTAATTTGGATTAGTACAAGAAATACTACTTTCAACCACGTATAAATTTCCATTGCTACGAGGGCAAAACATCCTCGTGTGCATAAATAGTAAAAAAGAAGAGCTGAAAATATGCTAACAGTGTGTTAGTAAAAAAGTCTCTACTACGATAATGAAAYAGGAAAAAAAAAATTCTTGACTTGACCACGAAACCTATTTTTTTGTCATAATGAGACTATCTTTTGTCATCGAGCTTTTTGTTATTTCGTCGTTGATAGCAGTGATTAAACAAATTTATCAAAATATACATACATATACTCATATAAAAGCATTAATACATTTTATACTTATAAGATTTCTTGGAATTCAAGCCATACAAATTTCTTATATACTTTAGAATAATTCCATACACATTATTATTTATTTTTGTGTGGCAAAGAAGGCTTTGCCATAAAGATTTGCTTTTTGAAAAGAAAACTATACTTTAGAAAGAAGTCACATATTTGTATCAAATCTYTAATGATAGTTGAATTATTTTTGGGGTTAGAAGCTGGTTTACACATAATTACATTTTTGTTAATATATATAAAAAAAAAGACACTCATTTCCTTTTACCTTCCGCTTTCTCAATCTTTTTATTTTCTCCGATGATTTTAGTCTCCATATTTTTAAATTTATTATATTTTAGATTCGCAAACACTATTGGTAAATCACTTGTTTATTTGTAGTCTTGTCGTTATTTTGAAATATACTTCTTGCTATTAGTTGTTTAATAATCGGCGACATAACAGTACTGAAAATAGTTCTTTAAAAAAGAAGTATTGAAAATAGTTGAAATGTTGGAAATTAGTTTTGGATAAACTAATTTAATATGCATTTTAAAAAACATTACAATTTTTCATTTTTTAAAAATATGGTATAAGTATGATTTTTTTATCATGTTTTATACTAGATTTGAGTTATATATATACACACATTTTTTTTTTAATTTTCAAAATTTCTTGACCTATATTATTTTTTTTGTTAATTGGGTAAATGCCTGAGTTTTTTTAACTTTGAATTTGAATTCTCAAATAAAATAAATTATGGATTGAATTTTATTTGATCCTCTCCAATTTCGTAGTGCATAAATTTAATTTAATTAATGTAAAATACTTCTATATTATGTAACATGATATACAAGTCAATCTTCCATCTTAAACCTAACTCCCGACTCAAATAGATAAATAACCAAATATATTAAATGTTGAACTATGTCCCAACCCAAATAGTTAAATATTTGTATTTTTTTTTGTTTTAATTATGGATGGCAAGTTTGAATTTTTATTCTTTATTTGCGAATATAATATTTAAAAAATTCTATGCAACTTAATTTAGTAAAAGGGAAATTTGTGGCCACAATTCTCTATTGGTTAGGAATCTTTTTACTTTTAAAAAGAAAGCTAAATGGCAGTCATTAATGGCAATGGCATTATCTTCCCTATCACCTCCATTTGTCTAATCTAGTGATGGAGAATTTCAAATAATTATTAACATTTCATTTCAAATTTGTTTTATGATTTTTTTTTAATAATTATGAAAAAGAAAGAACCCATAGAAATTTAATAGGAGTGCAAACTATATATGTTTACTTGATTGTTGGTCAAATCCAATGCAACAAAATTGTCTTTGAAAAATTTTGCATTATTGAACAATAACAATATGGTATTTTTATTGTCTCAAAAAAAAAAAAACAATATAGTATTTTTAACCAATGGTAATAATTAGGTTTAAATCCTATTAGATTCCTAACCMTAATAGGCCTCATAGATGTCAAATTTCAAAATGATTTTTTTTTTTGGTTAAATAACGAATGAAAAGTTAATATTGAGAATTGAATCAAAAGTTAATTTGTAAGTGGAAATCTCAAAATATTCACAACTTTAGGGACCAAAATATAACATGATTGAAAACCTGAAACATTAGTAATTAATATAAAATAAATATTTTTCAATTGTGAAATAATAATACTTATGTGTTGATCGGTCAATAAAGAAAGAATAATTTACCTTTTCAAAGAATAGCCCAATTGAAAGATGCTAAATGAACTAACAACGAGCAAGATAAAGAAAACTCATTGCCCCATATGTAAGACCTTAGTACAAGAGAGTCCTTCTCCAATGAGAATTTATAAATCTTTTGGACAAGACAAGAAAGGAACTCGTCCATTATCTAAAAGGGATAAGATAAAATATTTCTACATTATTATCATTAAAAATTTGACAGTTATTTATTATTTAAAAAAAAACATCTATTTTTTTCTCTCTTGTTTATATATTTATTTTTCTTAATTTTCAAAATTTTAAGAGGGTTAGATAGTCATAACACCTAAATGTTATTCACGTTCAAAATTTGAAATATGGACGGAGTCCAAAATTTTCACAATATAAAAGTCAAAAGTATTAATATTATAATGGTATAAATAAATAACCAATATCCTTTCTATTCGCACCATGTAAAGGTTGGAAGATGCCATGTGGCAAGTGGTCATTGGATTGTCATCCGCAACGGTCAACGACGGCGTAACATTAGGTTCCTCTTTGGATTTTATTTAACTTTTGTTTTTTTGGTCGTTCATACCCGACGGGCCGGGCCGGTCTCATCCAACTGTCCCGCGGCTGTCCAAATCTTGCCACCCGCTAACCTCCCAAACGCGATCGCCACGCGGAACGCACGAGGGGCGCGTGTTCCACACCGCCCAACCCCTTTATTCTCCGACAAAATTCCTTCCTCCTCCAAAAGGATTCGTCCGCACGTATTTATACATGTAAATTAAAGACCCTTTTCATCACGGATTATTGTTTTAATAACATATTTAAACATGTAAATGTTATTTTGATACGTGAACTTTAGTTCATATACAAAGTAAAATTAATTATTTTTTACAATGTTTAATGTGTTCACGTAGGTTAATAAAATCATAAATTAACGACGCATTAATTTTATGTAAACAACTTTTAATATATTGTTTTTCATGAAATGATGTAATGAAAATGTTTAATATTTTACCAGTAAAAATCAAAATTCGTTACATTATTTTTAAACATAGTATAGTTTTGACTGTTTTGACATACTTTACTTTATGCCATCCATGTAATTACCTTAAATGTATCATATATTCATGAAAAATATCTGAAAAATTGGGACAATTTGATATGTTTAAGCTAAAAATTTATGTCAATTTCCTAATTTGATATATATATTTTTTAAGATCTCCTAATCTTATTGGTTTTCTCTTTACTACAATAGTATTGAATTTTAAAGACGATAATATTGAATTTTCCTCTTCCAATTTTTTTTTATAATTTTCCATAATTTAATTTTTTATTTTTATCTAGATCTAACATGAATTTGATGTGAGGAGGCTTTTTCCTCAATAGATTATAGATTATTAATGCCACGGAGTCTAAGGCCCATCTGATTGCAACTTTTATTGCAAACTTTTACTCTTCCAAATGAAAGTCCTTTTCTTAATTTTTTATTATTATTTTTGTTTCCTTGAAGAACTGGAGACAGAAAAATAGCCGTTATATTATCCACGTGGGATTTGCCGACATCGAAAAGTCCGTTTCCCGATTCTTCTGATTTCCACTTAATTAAAATCAAGAGAAAAAAAATTAGAGACACTAATTGAAGTTCAACAGTTGATTACTTTCAGAAAATTCCCCGACGATAAAATCTACCTCAAGCTCATGGATCTCACGCTCAACTGTTCATCACCATTCCACTCTCCACAAGGTTTATCTCTCTTCTCTCTCTCTCTCTCTCTATCTGTATTGCTTTAGCTTTCCTTGAATCTGACTATGGCTGTGCTTTTGGTGTTGGTTTCTTCGCAGCGTGAGATACTCTGATAATTCCGCTATTTTTGGTTGGATTTTCACGTGATAAGTTGTTAGTTCAGGACGCAATTCATTGTCCGTTGGATGGTTGCCTCTTTTGGTTGGGCAAGTTGGTGGCGGCGAATCGGAGAGAAGAAAGGGAGATTAGTAGCGTATAGTGTTGGTTTTCCCGCAGCAGGAGTTTAAGAATCTTCTCTGGCTTGATTCGAGCAATCCGAAGGCTGTCTGGTTCATCTTCTTCTTCGGTATTTCTGATTCTCCCAGATTTTGGCGTGCGGAGGGCTGTGGAGGGTTGCTTTGGAGAATAATAGCGAGTAGGGAGTTCTTCTTTTATTGTACTCGTTCTTTTTAATGTGTTCTTTTAAGTGAATCGGGTGGGATTTAATTAGTCTTCCGCAGTCAATTTTGTTGCTATTTCTGCGTGGTTTGTGCTGAAACTGCTTCGTATTCTTGATTCCCTTTCATTATACCTAACAGTTTACTAATAATGGAATTGGTGCCACCAGAAACGTTTAACTACTTCATTTGTGGATAATATGAACTCTTCTAGTCAAATTCATGTCGTTAATTGAAATCATCAATGTAAATGCTAATTCGTGTTTTTCCCAACTGCTAATTGGGCTGCATTCCAGTCCTCGACAATGTCAACTTTTTGTTTAATGTTTCTTTAGATGTGTATTATTGTAATTGATAACACGGTTTCATTTAGCTAATAGATTATTTGAAAGAGCTGGATGTTGGATTCGGTACTCTAATTTAGTAGTTAGTGGGAATGTAGATGTGCCTTCAGTGGTGTCAAAACCTTGCAGACGATTTATTTCCATTAGTTTGGTGACTGAATACGCTCTAATTTCTATTTCAGGAAATAAACTCGCCTGCGGAGCCATAGGAAAATGGCTAATTTAAAGGATATTGGGGTTTCTGCAGCTTTCAATATTATCAGTGCATTCATCTTTCTTTTGGTTTTTGCCGTCTTGAGGCTTCAGCCTCTCAATGATAGGGTGTACTTTTCAAAGTGGTATTTGAAGGGTTTAAGGAGCAGTCCAGCACACGCAGGTGCCTTTGTACGTAGGTTTGTCAACTTGGACTTCAGGTCATATCTAAAGTTTTTGAATTGGATGCCGGAAGCTATCAGAATGCCAGAACCTGAGCTTATTGACCATGCAGGATTGGATTCTGCTGTGTACTTGCGGATATACTTGATAGGGTATGCAGTGAGCCGTATGTTATGTGTTCTATTGTAACTATCCGATACATTTTTCTGCTTATGTTGATGACAACTTTGCATATGAATCCCAATCACATGTTGGAATGGATTTAGAGATATTTTAGACTCAATTTTAGTGGTTTAGTTGTAAAATATGTCCAGTTTAAACTACTCTTGTTAGGTGACGGACCCAACCCAAACCAATTATATGGTATTTGGGTCTGGTTGATTTGGATTGTTTGTCTATTTTAAAATTTTGAAAAAAAAAAGGTGAAAATGATAGTCTTTATAGTATCTATTTACCCATTTTCACACATTGAATTAAAAAGAGTAGTTTAAATTCATCTTTTATTTTAAGAAAACTGATGCTACAAGGTATTCAATTGAACCAATAATATTCTGAAGATTGTTGTCGAGTAAAAAATCTCAATGAGTGAAATGAAATGAAGAGAAATATATGCGTAAGTAACATTATCATAGAGATATTTCCGATCAATATATTTTCGAAAACACTCATTTGGATTGGGTTACCATGATCTTTTGTTAGATTTCAGGATTGTCGCTAGCAATTCATTCACTGACAATCTCAATTGTTAATTTTGGTTGACATCTGCCCTTATATTTTTTGAATTTAAGTTCCACGGTAAATGTTGGTTGTAATATTTAACATATCTTTCCTTACCTTCGTTGCAGGCTTAAGATCTTTGTCCCTATAGCATTCCTTGCATGGGCTGTACTGGTGCCAGTTAATTATACTGATGATAATCTGGATATTGCTAAAGACACGGCAAATGTGACTGCTAGTGATATCGATAAGCTTTCAATATCAAACATCCCTGCTAAATCACAAAGGTTTGAAAGGCTTCTTTCTTTCATGAGCTATAATGGAACTTTTTCTTAGTAAGCCTGTGTGGGCCATAGATGCTCCATGGTTTTGCACACCCGTATGGATTGTTGACACTTGCCAGGATACTTATGGTCTGGTTTGATGATATCCTCTTAAACTTCAGTGTCATTTTCTTCTGTTACTTATTAATTGTAGGTCCTTCTGTTACTAAAAATTTTACCAATTACGTAATACGTGGTTCACAGTCCCTATTGATAATTACATTTTACTAGCACTTGATGTTCAATCATTGTTGCATTGAGCATGGCTCAATTGATTAAGTACATCCCGACCAAAAGGTCTCAGGTTCGAGTTCCCACCCCCACATGTTAGAACTGAAAAAAAGAGAAAAAAAAGAAACTATTACTGCATTGGTTTGTTCAAGTTTTAAAACCCCTCTTTCTTCTTGCGCATATGACCAAAATATCTTGCAGGTTATGTCTTTCATAATTTCTTTATATTATATTGATGAGATAAAATGAAACATGCCAAAATGTTCTCGCTTGCATGCAATTTAAACATGTACTGGTTCTTTGGTAACATGATCGTAGAATCAGTCTTGAACAGTTTACACTATTGCTGTCACCACAATAACCTAATCTTCAGTTTTCCGTTTAGAGAATTTTAAATGGGTTATATTCTGTTCGGAACGTTAAGTCTGTTGGGGGGTAGTCATCTCCCCTAGGGCAAAAATGTTAAGATAAGGAAAGGAAACTTGATTGAACTTTTTACTCTCTTAGTATCTCTTATGTTCTTCTTCAATACTGCAGTGGTACTTATATATCCTCTGATTTGGTCTATAAAATTTTAGTTTCTCATAAATAAAATACTGCAGTGCTTTTCTACTCTTGCTAATAATGACTGTTAATTTTGATGTCTGKTTCTCTCTGATGTTGAGCGTTATTTCAATTTTTATTTGTTGTTCTAAAATGTAGGTTTTGGAGTCATATAGTGATGGCGTATGCATTTACCATCTGGACATGCTATATACTCATGAAGGAGTATGAGAAGGTTGCCTCACTGAGATTGCAATTTCTTGCATCAGAAAAACGCCGTCCAGATCAGTTTACAGTGAGATTAGAACCTGACTTGTTTAGTATGATAAACTTATTACTTTGAAATGGGTCAGATTACTTTTATACTTCTCTTTATTGTGAGATTAGATTTTCATTTTTTTTTAGATAAGTAACTTTCTTTGGATATATCAAAAAAGGAAGACAGACTAAAGGCTGGGGTAGAGGGAACCCCACCTAAAAAACTAAACAACCGCTATCCAGTTGTGCATGAACATGGATAGTTTGTAATTACAAAAGAATTTACTGTAATTGATGCACCACCAAGAGGTAGTGTGCTGTATATTCCTACAAAAGAGATCAAAAGTAGTGGACTTATCTTCAAAAACCTGATAGTTTCTTTCGAGCCAAATATGCCAAAGGAGAGCTCTAGAGGCACAACACCAGATAAACCTTGTTTTCTTAGGGAGGGTCCAACCATGAAGAGCTTCAGCCATCCAATCTTCAATCTGTCTTGGGAAGCAAGTGGAGATCTCAAAAAGAAGCAAGTGGAGATCTCAAAAATATTTAGGAGGAAATGCCAAATCTGTGAAGCAAAAAGGCAGTGCCGAAACATGTGATCCATGTTCTCACTGTGCTTCATAGAAAGAGTGCAGACCGAGGGGGACAGTGTCCAGTCTCTGGAGTTTATCATGGGTATTCAAACTTCCATGGGCAAGGGACCAAAGGAACACTTTTTCCTTCTTTGGAGCCTTAAATTTCCACACTGCTGAAATAAGAGGGGACCTCRAAGAGGGGCTGCAATCCACCAAATTCAAAAAGGCCGAACGAGTGGAGAACTGACCATTTTTGTCTGTGGACCAAACTACTTGATCCTCACCTTCCCCCAACCGCACCACATCAATTTCTTGAATAAGCCCCATCCAGCTTTCAACCTCCCATTCGAAAAGGCCTCTGCGTAGTCCAATATCCCAATCATTTTCATTTACGTTCCAACACTCAGCTACCGTTGCCTTAAGGAGAAAGATTGATCATGACAGGGAACAAGTTTCGGAGAGAATCATTCCCAATCCATTTGTCCGACCAGAATTTAACTCTACTTCCCATTCTCACCTTGAAATCAAGGAACTTGAAAAAGAACGTGTTGTTTTTAAAAATATCAAACCACGGCCTTCTCCTAGCACGTCCTTTAGGAGGAAGTGTACACCATCCCTGGGAATCTTCTCCATAGATACTTACAATCACCTTCTGCCACAAAGCATTAGTTTCTTGGGTAAATCTCCATAGCCATTTAAGCAGTAAGCTATTGTTCTTTTGATGTAAGGCCCCTATACCAAGACCTCCATATTGCAACGGAAGCGCCGTCTTCCCCCAATTCACCAAGTGGTTACTAGATTTTCATTTTCTCTTCTAAGCTTGATCAGGACCATTGGGTTTAAGTCTCTTCACATTGAGTTCGGATTCTAAAACTGGAAATTCTGAAAACATTTTTATATTTGGAGTGTTTACAAATTTAAAATTTGAAACTTTAAAGTTAAGAATTACATTAAAACGATATAAACTTTATTGTTAAAATTAAAATAGGTAAAACATATTATTTTATAAATTATATAATATTTGTAAAATAATAATTACAAAACATTTACAACATATATGTTAATAAATTAATTAATAATATTTTGGATTGAACTAGATATTTAGTTGGTACCTACTAGTTTACAAATATATTACTAAATACATTTAAATAATTTTTAAAATTGAAATATAATTTTTATACCTGCCCACCAAACACATGATCAACACTAAAAACATGGAATACTTGAATGTCTCGTCTTCAAGATTTCTGTTTATCCAACCAAACTTACCCTAAGTTGCTTTTAGTTCTCTCAAGTCTGTAAAATCATTTTTTCCTTCCAACTTTTTTAAGTTCGAAGTCTTTGGTTTTCTCTCCCACTATTATTCAACACAGCGTGGTCCTTCCCTTACTCGGACCCTTCCAGCTTTTGAACATCTTCTTGGAGGCCCATCCCCTTAAAACAAAAGCAAAGTTCCTATGGAGAAACGCTATCAAAGGAATTGCATGGTAGATTTGAATGGAGAGATTGTAGAATATTTAAGGATATGTCAAGAGATAAAGAGAAAATTTGTGAAGTTCTCTCCTTTGGAGCGCTCTCTTTCAAAACATTTCTTGGTCAAAGCATCTTTATGATCTCATTGGCATCCATTGTAATTTTGGTTACATGAAGTCTTCTTTCTTATAATAAAATAATTATTGGTGTTTGTATGAATCATGCCTTTAAAAGATGCTTGCCAGTAACATGATCTGGTGGAGACATCGCCTTGCCTCTCATTCTGAATCTACGTGTTCCTTGTAAGGGGAGCTTTGACCACACACTCTTTGCTATAAGATCCTAGATAATTTATGACAGCCAGCTTCCTTTTGTTCTGGATTGGGATGCTCAATATTTGATGGCAGGTCTTTTCGATAATATTCCTTTCCTTCTATTCCTTCTGACAAGTGGCGATGTAAAACTATTGGAGAAATGAGGCTGCTGCCATTCTATTGGGCCTTGAAAAACTGTGAATAGATGTTATAATTTTAAGGGGAGACAGTGAGAGGGGTTTATTTTAGAGTTGGGCTGAGAAATCCCTCTTTGGGCACTCAACTCTGATGTCTTCTTGTAAGTCTTCTTCTCCCCGGCTAGTCGGAACTTGGAAAGTACCCTTTGTAATTCCTAGCCTGTTCTCTTAGTTGACGCCTAGTCACATTGCTGTGAATTTGATACATAAGTACTACTGTTTCTGGTATAGGAAAAAGGATTCCGTGTTTAAGACAGTAAAAGGAAGGGAAGGTATGGGTATCGGTATGGGGGTTGGGTTTCCACTTTTGGATGACTTGTTGAAGTGTTCTTGGAATAGCATGGTTCACTTTTTCAGGCCGCATCACTAATATCATGCTTTAATTTGAACTTTGACTTGTTTATTTTATTTTTTGGCAGGTCCTTGTAAGAAATGTCCCACCAGATCCGGATGAAACAGTTAGTGAGCTTGTTGAGCACTTTTTCTTAGTGAACCATCCAGATAACTATCTTACTCATCAGGTTGGTGTCTTCTTCTTCCTTTTTTTTTTGTTTTTAACTTTATTTTAAAAACTCAAATCTAAAATAATAAAAAGGAAATAAAATCTCAAATATGGGCCAGACCATCCAAAATACGTCTATGTTGCATGGAATGCAGCATTTGCCGTTGGAAAAATATTTTCCTTTTAGTGTAAAATGATAACAATTTAAATATGTGTTTGACACTGTTCTGGAATTTACTGAAGGCTCATATTTCTTACAATGAACATGTTACAAACTTCTTGTGATTTGAATAAAATATATGCAGGTGGTATATGATGCAAACAAGCTAGCCAAACTGGTTAAGAAGAAGAAAAAGGCGCAGAACTGGCTTGATTTTTACCAACTCAAGTATTCAAGAGACTCTACAATTAGGCCTCTTATGAAGGTAACTATTTAACTGGCATATCTATTAAAGCATCTTCTTCCATCCTATGTTGATTTTCTAAAAACCACTACTGAAATTGGTATTGCAACTAGACTGGTTTTCTTGGACTTTGGGGAAAGAAAGTGGACGCGATTGATTTTCAGACATTAGAGATTGAGAAGCTGTCCACAGAAGTAAGTAATTCTTACCAGATTCTATCTTGAACTTTTTGCACACCTTTTGGATTATACTATTGTGATAACTTACACTTTATGTATGGTTAAGAGCAGTGTCAAACAGTAGGAGTTTGAAATCATAAGACCTTTTATTAATTAAGCTGCACTGTCTATGGATAGAAGCTGATAATATCAATATATTTTTTTGCATTAATTCACATATTGAGGTTATTGGCTCTTTTTGCTTCTGCCAACTAAGTACCTCTCCCTTGATTATAGGAGATGAATTAGTGTTTACTAGATTGTAAATTAGGAAAAAATTGTAGGAAATCACATAGGATTCATCAATGCTTCGTCCTATTTTAGGTCCTTGTTTTTTCCATTATATTTATTGAGGTCTTTGTACTGTCCAGATAGCCTCGGAGAGAAAAAGGATTGCCAATGATCCAAAATCTATAATGCCAGCAGCATTTGTTTCATTTAAGTCGCGTTGGGGTGCAGCTGTTTGTGCACAAACTCAGCAATCTAGAAATCCAACTATCTGGTTGACAGAATGGGCTCCAGAGCCACGTGATGTATATTGGGAAAATCTAGCAGTCCCATATGTTTCACTTACTGTTAAAAGGCTAATCATGGGCGTTGCATTCTTCTTTCTTACTTTCTTCTTCATGATTCCCATATCAATAGTACAGTCTCTTGCGAGCATTGAGGGGATTGAGAAGATGGCACCATTCCTGAAACCCATTATTGAAAGGTATGTTTCACCTTGGATCTTTTAAATCCTGCATTGGTTTTTGAATTAATGACAATTAGAAATTATGTTTTGATTTATTCATTTATTATTAATTTTTTCAGGTCCTTTATTAAGTCATTTGTCCAAGGTTTTCTTCCAGGAATTGTGTTGAAGATTTTTCTCATTTTTTTGCCTACAATATTGATGATAATGGCTAAATTTGAAGGGTTTACATCTTTGTCATCTCTGGAAAGGAGAGCAGCAGCTCGTTATTACATTTTCAACTTCGTGAATGTATTCCTTGGCAGTGTAATTGCAGGAGCTGCTTTTGAACAGCTGAGCTCTTTTCTTAAGCAGTCTGCGGATCAGTAAGATTCTCTCTTAAATTGATCATACTCTACTCCCTTAAAATTAGTCCGTGATCCATAATAGTTGATCTTGTTTGAGGCTGTTGTATGCATTTCCATTGAAGAATTGGAGTTATCGATTTGCAAGTTGTTGTGGCTATACCATGTCTGTTTGATTATGTATATGGTTGAGTGCTTTTTTTTTTTTTTTATGTTGCCCGTGTTTCTAAGGGAGGACTCACTATCAGCAGTACATGCATATATTGTTTTTTGGGTACTCTAATGTTAATTAAAGTTAAATGTTTATTTTACGTTTCCTATATGTAAAACTGCGGGTGCGTTTCAGTTACAAAAAAAAAAAATATATGTAAAACTGCGGGTGTGTGTTTTAACCTTGACCACAGCACATCTCAGTTCGAAATTAGCATCAGTAAATAATTACCTCTTGTCCATGTTGCTTGCTGGTGTTGCCTCACATCTTCATCTCTAATTTGTCAGTTAAAACTATTCCACGAGCATAGAATTCTGATCAAATATTCCACCTTTTGTCCCTCCCTTTTTTCCTTATCTGCAGAATTCCTAAGACAATTGGTGTAGCGATTCCAATGAAAGCAACTTTCTTCATAACTTATATTATGGTTGATGGATGGGCTGGCATTGCTGGGGAGATTTTGATGTTGAAGCCCCTAGTAATGTTCCACTTAAAGAACTTTTTCTTAGTAAAGACTGAGAAGGACAGGGAAGAGGCAATGGATCCAGGAAGTCTTGGTTTCAACACAGGAGAACCTCGAATACAGTTGTATTTTCTATTAGGCCTTGTATATGCAACCGTGACGCCTCTTCTCCTTCCTTTCATCATAGTCTTCTTTGCCTTCAGCTTTGTTGTATTCCGCCATCAGGTTAGTCTTACGAGCACAAGATGCTGAATTTGAAGTCTCAATGTTTTTTCTTCTTTTCGTGTTTCTCATGGATTATGCGTTCAGAGTGTATGTTGCACACGTGTTTTCAAATTTTTCTGCTGCATGACGTCTATATTACTGAATGTTATATTAATTACCATTCCAAAAAATTGCAGATCATAAATGTTTACAACCAAGAATATGAGAGTGCTGCAGCATTCTGGCCTGATGTCCATGGGCGCATCATTTCTGCATTGATTTTCTCACAGGTGGTTCTAATGGGATTACTAAGTACAAAGAAAGCTGCCCAATCAACCCCATTTCTAATTGCACTTCCAGTAATCACCATAGCATTCCACCGTTACTGTAAAGGCCGTTATGAACCTGCATTTCTCCGATATCCCATACAGGTTTGTTGAAGTTTATCGATATGAAAAAATAGTGTGTGCTTTGAGAATCATCATTTTCTTTCCTGAAAGTTGAATTTTGTTTTTCTATCTTTAGATTGATGAAAGCAAAGTTTCCCAATTATCATTTTCTTTCACGATTCATGTTCATCCTAGATAGCCTGATTTTATTTATGGAATAGATCTTTTCTTCTTTTATTTAGAAATAATATTATCTGATATCTAACTTGGTGAAAAGATACCAGGCTGGTTCTAATAGAGTTCAAGGTTGGTTTTAGACCATAAATGAAATGTTTGACTCACGATTTTAACGGGATATTTGGCTCTATCCCATGATTTTAACATAAGTATGAGTTCATTGAATCTGAGTTTGTATATGTTGAATTGTGCAAAGGAATAAGTCATATGTTTCTAAGTTGTGACGTGTATTTAGTTGGTGGGTTTACGATTTGTAAAAGTATGTGTTATCAAAGGTGAGTTGATACTTGAAGTTAATATAGCAGAGTGTGATAATAAATCCCTAGTTTCAACAACAAACTCGTGTACCAAATATAAGTTCGGGTCATTAGTAGTCCTAACTCGTGAGTTGAACAATATCTTTTCCTAATTACATGATGCAATTTTGGATTCTTTCCTCTAAAGTGAAAGCCTTTGCTCTTCAAATTTGAGTCCTGTATTCTGTCCTTTGTACTTGGTTTACCACCCTTTAGTGAAACGTTCGTTAAAAAAAATTCAGATTCAGGATTCGAATCTTCGACCTTTTGGTTTGATATATGCTTTAACCATTTTGAATTATGCTCATTTAAAAGTTGACTTGTGATGTCATAGGAAGCAATGATGAAGGATACTTTGGAACGTGCGAGGGAGCCAAATCTGAATTTGAAAGGCTACTTGCAAAGTGCATATGCCCATCCAGTTTTCAAGGAAAGTGAAGAAGACGATGACGAAGCCGAGTCGAACCAAGCGTTTGAAACAGAGAGTGTGTTGGTAGCGACAAAGCGCCAGTCGAGAAGGAACACTCCGTTGCCGAGCAAAGCCAGTGCTCCTACCTCTCCATCTTTGCCCGAGGTTCGGAGAGACAACCAACAACCTTGAAAAACGTATCCAAGGTATATAGGATTCACATCTCTCTGTACATTTTACTTCTATAAATATAATGTGTTTCTGTTGTGGAGAAATGAGGTTGTAAATTAATGAGAACTGTCATTATGCTGAGCATTCTATAATTTTTTGATTTAGTTTGTTTCTTAATATCAAAGATTATTATCTCTTATTCTCAACCATTGGAATTTGGAGCCTCTTTTGTAATTTTGTAATTTTTAGTTAGATTTCCATGTATAGAATCCTTTTGTAGGAAGCTCTCTGTTGTCTGTTAAGCTATTGTCTGTTCTTAATGAAAGTCAGGTACGTTTTTTTTTAAATTGCGAAATTAATATTTTGAAGTAAGATCTCTGTTTTATAAATTAAGGTAGAGGTTAAAAGTACTAGGTCATTGTATTTTTTAAAATTGACTATTTTGATCTTTATTTGTAAAATTTTAACATAAATTATACTAAATGGAAACTATTTTCCATTTAATATAAATTTATAGTTATATTTTGATAAATTTAATGCATAAAGTGTCATACTAAAATTATAATTAAAAAAATGAGATTATTTTTTAAAAATACACAGGTCCAAAACAAATGTTTTAAAAATACTAGACGAAAGTTAGAAATAAAGATTAAAATAGATGTTTAAAGTAAACATGGTTTTTAAACCTTAATTTTAATATAATTAGTCTTGGACTGATTTCAAATCAACATATTCAACATTCGATCGGATTAATATTTCTAATGTACTAGTTACCTAAATAAATAAATAAATTAGGAGACTATTTTTGTAATTTTGTAATTGGGTTTACTGTTGATTTAATTTCAGACTGGATTCTGTTTTCAATTGAGTGGATAAAAATTTCCTCTGATTTCAGTTTGGTGTTTTCATTGGTAAATATTAATTCTCCTGGTGGGCCAAGTTTGCGAACCAAATTGATTTCAGACCTAATTCTCGATCCAATTACATATTTTAATTGTTAATTTATCTTTAATTTAATTTATGGTTAGTATATAATTAATTCCTAAATAAAATAGATAATGACGTTTTATAATTGGTCCAAAATTTATGGTTTTACCGACTCTAGTGAGTTGAATTCAATTTAATATATAATGAAATATTTAGGGATTGCTAGCTTTAATGACTAATTCAATCTCATGGTTGTAGGTATATGACAATTACCGTTGAGTTATGCTCGTTTGGATGGCGTGTTAGTGTTTTTGATGAGATTTATTAAAAAAAATCTTGTTAGTTTCCTAGAGATTGAATCTCCTATTCCAAAAATAAAAGATTAATTATTCAATAAATCTTATCAAATCTACAAATGTTAAAAAAAAAACTCTAGGATTTTTCTCTCTCTCTTTTTTGAAAACACCTTTTATGGACGAGTGTTCACATAAATATCTATTAAAAAGTCAGAATTGCACTGTTGAGTTTAAAGCTAAAGATTGCGATACTTGTCCAATCCTATAATCTAACTCGGTAAAATTGTAAGTTTATGATAAACGTTCTTGAAATTTATGGTAAAAAAAAAATTTCTTTTATTATTATTCTTTGAAAAACTCACAAGAAACAAATTAGTTATATAAAAAAAAAAAAATATAGATAGATATTAAGGTATAGATATAATTAAGGTTTAAATACTATTTGCAAGTATATGATTCTTATCCGAGGAAGTCTTGTAATGGGTCTATACAAGAGCGGTCTTTGACCCCAAAAATTCATGAAGTTTTGTGTGAGAAGTTAAAAGCTTGCGGGTTTGATCGTTTAAGGTCATCTCCCACACTTGTTCTGTTAAACAACATTAGTTGCCCACAAATATGTTTACACCGATTCTCCTAGAAAACAATAAAAGAACTTACAAAAATATATGAATTGATTTCAAGGATCCAAATTGTAGAGGTGAGCTGACCAATTAATCAAGCTACAAGGACAACATTCTACTTTGTAAGATTATTATGGAACAAAACAGTGCCATGAATTATATATATAAAAAAAAAAACAGTTGCATGAATTCTTTAATAAAAAATTAATAATGAAAAAATGTTAAACTTAAGCTTATTTTTATTTTATAGTTTTTTTAATATAGGATATTAACCAATAATATGTTTAAAATGCTGATTTTGAAGGATGAAAGATTGAACTTTCAACTTAAAAAAGCTGGTAATTAATCTTTTAAATATTGAGTTATGGTGGTAATTTATTTATTCATTAAATTAATTAATGGCATATTTGGAAGGAAATTATTAGATTAGTTAAATATAGAATTGCCAACTATGATACAATTTGACCTCAAATTGTTTATGGAAATTGACACTAAAGAAAATACTTATATAAACAAGGTTATATCTATAAAAGAAATTCTTTACATATATAGAATTATTTATTAGATTAATTAAAAGCGTATTTAGAAGAAAATTACTAGATTAATTAATTAAAGAATGTCCAACTATGGTACAATTTGAGAAGTTAGTTTATGGAAATTGACACACTAAACTACTTATATAAAGAAGGTTATATATACACACTTTACATTCCAATTGTGATAAATAAATCATTATGATGGATTTGATATGATTATTTGTTAATTATCATTAAGCAATTTTTAAGCTATAATAGTGTAAATAACATAGCAAAGCAATTTATTAAATTATAATAGTGTAAATAACAGGGAATAGTATTTGAGTTATTTTAAGCGTGAAAATAAACAATATTTTAAATTTATGTGAACTAAAAATGATTTGTTTTGAAGAGTTTGATTCTTTTATTTAGTTTAATAAGATTATGATTCACACCTCTGGTTTTTTTTATTGTTATATTATGGTTGGCCACGAAGAGTTTACTATTAAATACTATCACTTATTTACATTTTAATATATACATTTAATTATGAGACCTGAAAAAGAATATAACATGTAGCTAAAAAAAAAGAATATAACATTTGATAACTTTTGAGTGTCACAAAGATTTTAATTAATTAATTATAATAAAAACAAATATACTAAAAACTATTATAATAAAAACAATTAAGGTAATCCGCCGTGAAATGAATAATATTATTTGGATTATTTTGACACCGTTAATTGAATAAATAATATTTTAATTATAGGTACCTTAAAAATGACTTTGTCACATCAAAAGAACTCAACCTTGAGTTATTATCGACATTTTTTTCTGTTTTTTTTTACTATCAAGAGTTTTATAGACGACCATATATCTTAAGAATTAATTTTTATGTATTTTCTGACCTTAAAATATTGTAGGATCGATAGCTATCGTGAAATAAGTCGAGGTACACATAAACTAATCCTAGATATTAAAATAAAAACTTTATATATACTAATTTTATAACATGCAATAATTTAGATATCTCCTACTAAAAAAAGATATCTCGAAGGTAAAAATTGCAATAACTAAAGTTAAAGGTTGAATTGTGTGGAATGGAAAAGTTAGGGTAAAAATTGATATTTATCCCAAAAATCAACAAAAATATTCTCCTTCTGCAGGATCTCCATAAAACGACATCGTTTCTCTGATTTTTTTTTATTTTTTAAATTCTTTTGGAAAAGATTTTTCTGATATTTCGAAGGCTATACAAGTCACGAGATAGAGCAAAAGATACTGTGATATTTATATCCACTCGCAGAGTACTGAACGTGTGGTTCACGCGCCTTTCTTCAGATCGCGCCATTAAAACCTGGTATCGTCTCCTTCCTCAGTTCCTTCCCTCTCTCTGCCGTCTTGCAAAATTCTCCAACCCCAGCTCTATTTTCCAACAATGGCGCGAAAGTCCTCGCTCCTCAAGCGAACCCTAGCTTCTCTCTGCTTTGTTCTCGCCGTTTATGCTATCGTCAACACCTTCATCAGCTCCTCCGCCACTCTCAAGCTCGACCGCTCCTTCCCCTTCAGCGCTGCCAATTCTGTCATGGTTTCGGATGAAATTGGGTCCCAAGAGAGTGATCTTCTCAATAGTTCAGGAAAAACGGTTTCGTCTGTGAAGATTTACCTCTACGATGTGCCGATGAGATTTACGTACGGTGTAATTGAGCACCATGGCATAGCGCGCGGGGGAAAACCCGTCGAGAAACTCACGGAGCTTAAATATCCGGGCCACCAGCACATGGCGGAATGGTTTTTGTTCTTGGATCTGCTGCGACCGGAGTCCGAGCGTGTTGGGTCTGCTGTGGTTAAGGTGTTGGATCCTGAGGAGGCGGATTTGTTCTTTGTACCATTCTTCTCGTCCCTGAGCTTGATCGTGAACCCTGTCCGACCTGCAACGGGGCCGAATCAGGAGCAGCGGAAACTTGTGTACAGTGACGAGGAGACGCAGGATGCGTTCATGGAGTGGTTGGAGAAGCAGGAGTACTGGAAGCGGAACAACGGGCGGGATCACGTCATCATAGCGCAGGACCCGAATGCATTATACAGGGTGATCGATAGGGTTAAAAACAGTATCTTGCTCGTGTCAGATTTTGGGCGGTTGAGGTCGGACCAAGCGTCGCTTGTTAAGGACGTGATTTTACCATACTCCCATAGGATCAATACTTATAACGGTGACATTGGAGTTGAGAATCGCAAGACTTTATTGTTCTTTATGGGCAATCGATACCGTAAAGAGGTATATTTAAGCAATGCCTTGAAGTTTTTCTATTTACGCAATGCCTTGAAATTTTTCTATTTATGCAATGTCTTGAAATTATTAATGGTTATTGTTAGGGATTCATCTGTTATTGTTCCTTTACCCTTCTTCTGGTATACATTAACTTTCTGGTTAAGAAAGTTCAGAGACTTGCACAGTTGATCTTCATCGAGAGGGAGTTGCGAGTCTGAGAGAAACTTGTTTTGGAAGATGACAAAATGTTAGTAGACATTGGATATAACCCTTTTAGAATTAAGCTCTTGCGCACTGCAGCAGGTTCCATTACAAGTTGGCGGTAGAAGTTGTCATTTGTTCTGCCAAGGTTCCTTTAATTTTACTGTTAGCTGAAAATGATAGTGATACGAGGCTTCTTAGTTCAATTATGTTTAAGATATATGGTGGTTATACATTCCAGGACGAAGTCTCTAGGGCTTTATTTATTTCTTATTTCCTGCCTGACATGCACATAATAATATGGGATTTGGTTTTTGAATTGATTCTTCAGTTTCTTTTTATATCATATTAGCTAACACAAACCTCAACCAGTTTGCTGAACTATTGCTAGACCTTATGACAATTGATGTAGGAAACTTGTAAGGTATCTATAGAATAGATGAACCTAGATTACAATCAATGAATCATCTATAAATTAGTCACCATTTTTCCCCTCGACTTTCAGTCAATTCAAAGTAGTTGATTCAACTTTGTCTTGCAATGCAAAATGTAGAGTTAATTTGCATATCAGTTATTGCAAGAAAGAATTCCATCTAGTTAAAGTTACACGAAAGAATGCCATCTAGTCTAGACATATGTGCCAGTTAGATAATAATTTTCAAGATAAATCCAAGCGACTTCTTAAATCCAAACGATCATTTCCCCTATGGCTACATTGTTACGACTTCACTCCAACTGCTATGGCTACCTTGTTACAACTTCACTCCAACCAAACCTTGTTTGAATTCTTGATGCAGAAAAAAAGTTTTTGCATCAGTCAATTGAAAACCTGGAAAAAGATTCAACCTATGGTAGAATAGAACTAAATATRAACTTAATATTCACAACACATATGAATACCTTGACTCTAACCTGAACAGTCTCAATGTCCAACTTTATTTTCAATATCTTCTCGCTTCTTTTCAACTGAAGTATCTAAGGATAGCCAACCCAAGACTCGACCCTTTGAAAGTCACTCTCTTCTTTGAAGCTTTATTACCAAATATCCTGACCAGTGATCCATAAAGGAGGAAGAGAAAAAAGAAATCAATACACTTGAATCCTTGCAAAAAATCAACTTCATTTTCATGAAACTTGCATCATATGCTCCTTATTAATAATGTAAATTAGATTGCAACCAAGTAATGGATTTACCATGGAATGTAAAATGGCTCAATTTTAAGCTTGCATCAGTCTTGCCTCTCTCCCCCTATCAAGTTCAGGAACCCTGGCTTTCTCCCTGTTTTCATTTGCAGAACTCTTGGCCCCAGTCAGCTCACTCCCCATCTTTACATTTTCTCCTAACCACAAGGTCATAAACTACCCTTGCCGACCACTCTAAGTTGTATTTAGGCTAATTTACTGATTTCATAAGTTGTGTTGGTTTTGATTTGATGTAGAAATGCAAAACTGTCGGTCTATAGCCTATATAACAACATTTTGTTTTGTTTGTTACCAGTGTTGTTGAGGCGCACCCGGGCGCTCACCTCAGGCGAGAGGCGAGGCGATTTCGCCCAGGTGCGCCTTGCAAGGTGCCCAGGCGAGTGCCTTCAATCGGGCACTCGCCTCGGTGCGCCTTTGTGCGTCTCTCGCCTGAGGCCAGGCGATCGCCTCGTTGAAGTGAGGCGATCTGCCTTATTTATTTTATTTTATTTTAATTTTTAATGTGTTTTTTTTAAAAGAACCTTTCTCCCTCGCAAAATACCTCARTCCACAAACCCTAACCATTCTCTCTGCCTCTCGACATTCACCTTCACCACCCTCAATCTTCGGCCATCGCCCACTCCCGTCTCCGATCATCACCGTCGCCGCTCCCGTCTCTGACTAAACTTATTGCATTTKGTTGTTTTATGTATCTTGTTGACATTTACYATGACAYTATTTTGGTATTTATTTTTTAAACTATGTTTACTATATAAATTTATGCACTAWATATATAAYTTTTATTTATTTATTAAGGTGCGCCTCGCTTCACTCGGGCGTCGCCTTTGTATCGCCTCTCGCCTCAAGGCGATCAAAGGGCTTGTCGCCTTGAGGTGCGCCTTGCGCCTCGAAAACACTGTTTGTTACAATTCTTTACAAAATAAAATGTATCTTTTTAATAGATATTATGGTTATAATCTTCTCTTTGGAGTTCTCTCATTTTTGCAATTACTACGCTTTTTCTTTATTAACATCAATGGGAGGAAATTTTTGTAATTCCCATAGCCTCTTTCAGGTTGATGCCTTATGACCTTTTGTACCTTTAAGGTTTGTTAATGTCAGTGTATGGTTTCTTATTAAAAGAAAATAAAAAGTTGAGTTCATAACCGATTTGTTTGCCGGTCGTTCTTTTGTGTCTGTAGGGAGGAAAAATACGTGATATGTTTTTCCAAATACTTGAGAAAGAACAGGATGTCATAATCAAACATGGAACACAATCGAGAGAGAGTCGGCGTGCTGCTACACATGGGATGCATACATCTAAGTTCTGCTTGAATCCTGCTGGCGACACTCCCTCTGCGTGTCGACTCTTTGATTCTGTAGTAAGCTTATGTGTTCCAGTTATTATCAGTGATAGTATTGAGTTGCCTTTTGAAGATGTTATAGATTACTCCAAGATTGCAGTATTTTTCGATTCGGTTTCTGCTGTGAAGCCTGGATTTTTAGTTTCAAAACTGAGGAAAATATCTGAAGAGAGGATTCTGGAGTATCAGAGGGAAATGAAAGAGGTTAGTATTATTTGTTCTAGGTTTTGATTTAAATCTATTTACCAAAGGGTAAAATAGAGTACTAAGAACTGACCAAATAAGATATCGCTATTTCATTGATAATTCAAATTGGTTGTATCACTGTTTTGAAAAAAAAAAAAAAACTAAACACTTAATAATTTAAAACTTATGAAAACTTGCTTCAAACATGTACGGAGAAGTTTCAACGGATTTTCTACTTCCAAGTAAATAGCTCAGTGATGCATATTAATCGAGTTTCTTCTATTGAATGTATGTTACTCAGGTAAAGAGGTACTTTGAGTATTCAGACTCAAATGGCACAGTGGGCGAAATATGGCGTCAAGTCTCGCAGAAGTTACCTCTAATTAAGCTAATGATTAATCGCGAAAAGAGGATCGTTCAGAGATATGTTAACGAACCAGACTGCTCTTGTCTCTGTTCAAACCAAACTGGCATCAGGGCCATACTATAATAATTTATTTATGAATTTCTGGTAGAGTCTAAGTCGCCCTAAAAATGGCACGCCAGCTACGAGACTTCCAAGGGGGAGGAAATTGAGGATGTAGTTACATGTCTAACTTCCCGTATTCCTCAGTTGAGCTGGCTTTTCTTCTAACCAGGCAGGTATAGGTTGCCATATTTATACGCCTATTCAAGTATTACTTCACTTCTCTTTACTGTTGAGTTGGTTATGTAGAACTGACATAGCCATACAAAAATCTGGTAATAGTGTAATTATTTGTTCATTTTTTGTGCATTGTACAGAATAAGGGTCCGTTTAATCCTCGATATTCGACTGAAACTGTTTTCTTCCCTTTTCCCTTGGTTGTAGTAGGCTTGAGATAGACAGTGGGGCATTAGAAACATCTCCAACAAGCAACTTGGTCTTTTACTTGGTAAATTTGATAAGTATTGTAGATTACATTTCAAATCACTTTCACTCTCTCCTTCAATGTTTTTGGGTGGTGACGTTGGTAGCTAAAAGGAAATTCTTTTGGGTCAATGGCTGAAGGTTATTTTTTTCATATCCCAAACTTGCATAACTCTATAGCTGTATTCATTCCATGAATGCATACTATGTATAATTTGTGGTTACTTGAGTTATTGAAGCAATTTGATGCAGTAGGGGCGAGTTTGGTTCGAGTATCATAGAGAAAATCGGTTGGTGGCAGTTCATTGTCGCCAGAAATCGACCATTTGGTCGACGATCTCGTGAACTGTTTTCTCTTCTCTCTCAAGTTTTTTACCCATCACTTTCAATTTCACTCTTCTTTCTGGATCCCTCAATTTGGCTTTGATAAATTGAGCTGAGAAATTGAATGGAGGTATGTCTCACCATAGAAGATAATACTTCAGAATTAGAACACTCTTTTAGTTTTACCGAATGGAGAGTGGCTGGAGAATTTTCAAGAGAAGTTTTCATGGTTCAAACTTCAAACCATCAATTTTCAATGTAACAAATTATGTTTCAATTCAAGTAGTTTATGGTTTTATTGTCAGTATTTTTTTATAAACCAATCTAAACATAATTCAATTGAGTAAGGCATATTTTTGACCAAAACATCAGAGCTTGGAACTTTCATCTTCAATTGAACTCAAGAAAGAAAGAAAGAAAAAAGATTGACTCTATAAATTTCAAAATTTAGCTTCTCCATGACCCATCTCTTTTTCCTCTACACTATAACCAAAGAAATTATTTAGTTAAAATGTGGACGATAAATATAACCAAGGGTAGATTGGGTAAATTTTTTTTATTTTTTTTTGGTTTTAAATTAATCGAATTTGTTTAATCTGTGATTTAAGTTCTATTTCAAACAAAATTGAGACGAGTTAAAATCTTCCTATAATAGCTAAAAGAAATTATTTATTTAAAATGTGAATGATAAAAATATATTTCACCTAACAAGATTGTAATAGATATGAATTCAACTTAATGAAATAGATTTTGAAAGTTAACATATTTTGGTTATTATTTTGTATTTAGATTGGAACTCTTAACTTTCAAAAAAAAAAAAAAAAAGTCAAATCACACAAACCCTGTAGCTCATGTTCAAACTTTTTAAAACATTATACATACGACAAATAAGGAAGAACGAAAGAAAGTTTGGAAATCTGAGCATAGTTGAGTGGATAAGACGCTTATTACTATCTTAAAAGTTAAAATTCAATCTCCATTGTTCAACTAAAAAAGAAAAACCCGAGAGGAAAGGAAAAAAAGAAAAAGACAGCTTTATACATCCCTCCAATTCGAATCATCTGCAGAAGTCATTGTTTCTATTGTTCCCATGTTCAGCTTGTCACTGCAGATACAATAAATACACATCACAAACAGTTGTGTATGTGAGCAATTGGGTTCAACCTGGAGGCCATTTCATCTGTCTCCCTCCCAGAACATGCAAGTGAAGATGATAAACAGATTGGCCTGTTCACACACACACAGATCAGTAAGAGCAGAGGAAGAAATGTTTCAAGGATATGGATTGGTGATGATTAACTTACAAGCAGTTGCACCACTGTTGATGACTACACGAAATCCTTCAACAATGCCCTCTTTCTCAGCCACTATTTTTGCTGCATACAGCAGCTCACCCAGTATCTCCCCATGTCTTGCCTCAGCCTGATCAGTATATGAAACCTCAAATACTGCATAATATCAAATGCTGAAGAACAGAAACAGATCACAACCAAAACTGCTTCTTCAAGAATATTACAAGCATTGATTCCTCTATCGTTCTTTGGACTTTCACTGCTCTTTGTAAATATGATTAAAGTTTGTGTTTTTAAAGAACAATTTCTCAATATGCCCTCCATGGCAACTTTGTTCACAAGGGCTTGAGGTCTCCTGGTCATACCGACTTAGAGGTCTCAAGTTCGAACCTTCCAAGGACTTTTTACGATGGTTGATATTATTGGCAAATTTTTACAAACTCCCTATCTCCTAAACCTGCGGTCTTATATTGGCTTTGCTATCCATGTAAAGCATAGAAATGCATATGATTCTTCCAGCCAAAAAAGGTTGATGACATATCTCTATGGTATAGTACAATGGTGAGATTTTTTGTAACATAAGATCTACAATAGACTACATGTGATTATAGTGCATTCTCATGCATAAATTCTAAACAAACACTCTAAAGGCATCAATCACCAAAAGTCCAAATTTATTTAATTTGGATGTTGAATATCTAAAGACGTCATATAAATAGATTCCCTACGAACAAACAACTCACTAATCCATTACGGATTGACTGACAATATAGCATATAGCATGTCTCGACGGTTAGCTCACATTTATAAAGCACAACATATTTGAAAAAAAAGAATGCAAGAAGTAAATAAAACAAAGAGAAAATGAACATTCCATATCTTATTTTAGAGAATCTCAGCCTATGCAGACTCGCATATCTAAAAACATAACATCTGCTGCATATGACTAATGATTACAAAGAAAATATATAGAAATTAGAAACGAGAATGGAAAGAAAGTACCTTACCCAGCTCTGTCAATCCATCTCTGAGCTTTGGAATGATTAGTATATGAACAGGAGCCTGTGGATTTATGTCTCGAAATGCTAGGACTTTTTCATCCTCATATACAATGTTTGAAGGAATTTCCTTAGCTATTATTTTGTCAAATCTGAAAGGGGAAAATGTCAAAAAATAAGGAACCAATTAATTCCAGAATTTATATGCTCCATATCAATCTAATTATTATCTCTTAACATGTAATATTGACTCCATCTCAATTTCTTATTGACCACTTCATTGAATGTAAATATGAAACTATTAAAGGGTTCAAGATTTCTTCCAACAGTGTAAAACATCTGAAACATACTTCAAATTACTCCAAATATGGATTGATGGACCTGTCGAACAAGGTTTTCACATGTAACATTGGCTCTCGCTCTTTGCTTTGTTCAAGAGTTGATAATTTTTTTACACTAGCATATCTTCTCATAAGGTTTTAGCAAAATCTAATCAGCCTCACTAATTTACGAAAGACGGTACATGGTTGGAGCTCCACTTTCTGCATCAGACGCAGCTGCTTTTGCAGCAACTTCTTCATTGTTTGTGATACTAGCACGAACTATCAATCTGGAGAAAATACAATGCAACAACAATAACAACCATGTCAAGAAATGAGTACTAGATTACTTGAATGGTGGAACAACAGCAAATTCTGGAACCTTAGTAGATGATATTGTCTTGTCTGTTTCTAGGTGTTTTTTTCTTCTTTTTTTTTTAACAAGAAACAATTTTTCATTAACGTGTCCCCACCACGTTGTGTCATGGGACAGACGTCGTGTCCATGTCCCTGTCCGTGTGTCCATGTTTCTTAGGCCTTAATTACATGGGCATTTACAGGCTTATACCTCAGTTTCATTCTGTTTCTGCGTTGCAACCTCTAATGATTCATTCCCCGATCAACCCATAAAACACATCGAAGAAACGAATTGCAATTTCCTTGTTCCTTTTGAAGGAAATTATTAGACCTTCCATTGTCAACGATGATATATTTTCTACTTTCAAGAGACACAAACCAGAGGCTTCCATACTCATTTCAATGATGATACAAGATGTGGGGAGAAAAACAGAGCAGCTACGAGAAAAAATATGGATCATATTTCTTCGCTACCCTATATTACAGTCGAAATTAACAAAATCCACAAAAGGGATTGCTCAATTACAAGCGGGAAATCGAAATAACTACATAGAAAACGGATTGAATACCTGCGAGAGCAAGTGCGAAGTGGGAGGAGAAAGCTCGTGAAGTGGTTGCCGGAATGTTTCAATTTCGCAGTCACCAATGTTCTTGTAGTCGTAGCAATACATTGCCTGCCATTTCCATACCAAAACAAACAATTGAACCCGAATTTCACATTCCATTATAACAAAGATACTAAAGTATACAAGAAAAAAGGAAGAAGAAGATAGAAACAGAAAGCACCTCAAGAAAGAGGTCCGTGCAGCCATTGGCTCTCTCAATGAACCACGCGAAGAAGACGACGACCACTGCCCACTGCCACCAAGGTGTGCAAAATGAAGAAACAGTTGATGGGTTAGGGATTTTTTTTTTTCTTATTTACATAATCTCATCCAACCCAACAGATATTACTCAAATGGGTCGGGCCAAAATTGAAGGCAAAAGTGGGAATTATTGGTGGTGGCCCATTTTCTCTCACCCCATGTCTTCTACTCTGCGTTGTCCAGAGCGAGAGAGGAGCGCTGACGATGGCTAATCTCTTCATTCTTAAGGTCCCCAGTTGCAGTTCCGCCTTAAGGAGTGTCTCTGTTTCAGCTTCATCAAATGGTTCCCTCTCTTTCGCTATCTATCTCGTTTTCTTCGATTACTTCATTTCTCTTATTCGCTCAAAACAGTCAATGAATTGGGTATTTTGGCGATGAAATGGTAGGCGCTCATCCGTTATCAGCGGGCAGCGGCAGCGGCAGCGGGCCAGTGATCCTGGAGCTTCCTCTGGAAAAGATTCGGCGACCTCTAATGAGGACCAGAGCCAACGACCCCAACAAAGTCCAAGAACTAATGGACAGTATACAAGAAATTGGGCTTCAAGTACCCGTGAGCTTTCTCTCTTCAACTCATCTTAATTTAACACCTTTTAATCTGTTCCCCAAAAGATCAATGGACGGAAAAGATTATATTATTAAGGGCTCTTGATTTCTCTTGCTGTCTTCTACCGCTCCTAGTTTTCAGAAATTGATACTCTCTTAGGTGTGGCTATAGCTGTAATTCATGGCATTTTGTTAATGGGTTGGGCTTGAAAGTTTCATTGGTAGTTCCTGCAAACTTTTCTTGAGGAACAGGACTCAAAATGGAGTTATTTTATCTATTTATTGTTAGGATAAGTTTGCAGTTTGAAGATAGAACCGTGTGAGACAAATATGAACATAGACAATGTAATGTGGAAGAACGACGAAGTTTTTAACTGGGTAGCATGTCCGTGAGTCATGACAAACAATTGGAACGATCCTATGTTCCTCCCAATCACCAAAAGGAATGTGTTGCTCAGCAATTCGATCATTGCCTGCAAAAGTCCATATGTACGTAAAATGTATCAGGGTGTGTTAAAGTGTTGATAAATGATTAAATTTGTCGCAATCCATCTGTTTAAATCTTTTAGTTCAATGGTGATTGAACATGGTAGTAGGAGGTTTTGAGTTCGAACCCTGCAATGTCATTTCCTCTAGGTCTTGTGCAAATCTCTAAGTCCACAAGTTAGAGGAAGCGTTAAAAGTGTTGATAAATGATAAAATTTGTCATAACCCATCAGCTTAAGCTTTTGGATTTTTAGTGGTGATTTAACCAGGTGCCCTTTTCTTCTAGTCAAGAGAGATCGTTTACTTTGGATATTGTGAATCATACGATATACCTGTTATAATCATGAAGATATTAATAGCCATATCGAACAAATAAGTATCAATAGGGTGAAAGTGGGTGATATTGTACACATTGACATTAGTATGTTACTCATTCTCACTGTTGTGGATGCAGATTGATGTACTTGAAGTTGATGGAGTTTATTATGGTATGCTTATACTGATGAACATTTATGTTATTTCTTTCTTCAGTTAAGATTATTATACTACAAGCAAAAAGAAAGTCTTGTATCATACGCATAATTCTGTTTACGAATGTTTTGAGCTTGCTTGATTAGGAGTAGTAGAAACTGGAAATCCTATTTTTAGATTTTTTTTCCAAATAAGCCATTATCGATTTCGAAGAATGAGATTTAAGGCAAATTGAAATAAGATTTACCCCCCATTTCAAAGTGTTAAATCACTCATCAACCTAAAAACATACATACAGAGGTTCAAACACAAGATTCCTAGTTTTGATTCCATGTTAAATCACTAATGAACGTAAAAACTTAACAATAACTTCACAATAACTTTGATATTTTATAGATACCTTAATACAGAGTCTACTGACCATTTTGATAAATAAATATCACATCGGATGTCATTTTGAATAACTTAATTTCCTTCCCTGGCTAGGCTTCTCTGGTTGTCATCGTTACGAGGCTCATCAACGCCTCGGACTTCCTACAATCCGCTGCAAAATTCGCCGTGGAACAAAAGAAACCCTGAGGTCTGTTTCTTTCACTAAATCTTATGAATGCTATTTCTAATTCTAGTTATTGGTCCTTGATCTCACATTAGCATTCATTTATTTGTGTACATTTTCATCTTGCAGGCACCACATGCGGTGAAGTTTCAGTAGGTTGGCTGCTGGTGGTGAATTTGCAAATGCAAGTTCTATCAAACTATCTATTATTTTTGACTGCCATAAAAAACTATTACTGGATACTTGAAACAAGCATGTGTATATATCATTGCAAATACTCTGTGTCAAAGTTTACCTGTAAATAAACCATTACTTCTAAATTCATTAACATTTTTAAAACTTCTGTAAACTTGGGCAAAATGCAATCCAAGTTGCTGCCTTGAAAGAGGCAAAAGAAAGTGATGATGTTATTGATGTTGAGGTTTGTTTCAGGATCAAATGTGACCTATGACCTTACATTCTGATAGAATCTCAAGTCTATTATTTATGTCAACGTAGGAAACTACAAGTCAAGGGAGAATTTGATAGCTCCCTATTCGTTACAACCAACTATTTCGTAAAAAATAAGCCAAAGATCGAGATATATCCTATACTATGTGATACCACATTTGCTCATTTGTTTTGTCTCCTCTTTATGAATATACCTTCTAAATTGGGAGTCTATCACATTCAAAATTCCAAACTGAGATATTCAAGCTTTTAAATTATTCTTACGAGTAAATTATACAACTCAGCAGAATTTAGCCTTACATTTTTCTCATTTCTATTGTGGCAATGTCCACAAAATGTTTCACCATATCTTAAAAAAGAGATTGAAGTGTGAATGGTTATTCTCTATCACTATTGTTATCTTCAATTGACTTGAGAACTGTTTTTCTCAAACATTTAGCAAGATTTGCAGTTGTTTTATTGGATTCTTCGTCTTTTCTCCCCTCCTCTCTCAGAATGATAATTTTTGCTATTAACAATCTTTCAAAACTCTTAATCAAAGGAAACGAAAGATGGGATAGTTTGAAGAGGATAAGCCAGACATGGAACCAAGTAGATGCCTTTGATTTCAAGAGCCTTTTTTTCCGGTAATCCTCTTTCAATCAAATTTCAGTGGATCAAGTGATGAAATAACTATGGTCAATTAGAAAAATTCATGCGATGGCCAATCGTTCGAGCATATGATGTGTTCCAGGTCGGGCCAAAGACGCCAGTCACAATAGTAAGATCAATGGAATTACTTTATATGATCGCTATTTAATTCTATCACAGAACCTGAAGCAACTTCAGACGTACACTTTTAACAAAATTCATACAAACTACAATGGTAGAACAAGAAAATGAAACAAGAAAGGAAAAATGGATAACTTATGTATATTACTATTTGGCTAAGGCAGTTTTACTTGTATGCTAGCGGTCCAGACCTTGAGACAGCAAACCTAGGAAGGGGGCTAGGACCAGAGCTGCCTGAAGTTGAACCCTCGACAAATTTCACTTTGCGGCTAGAACTATAATCCAAAGGGCCCGATCGATGGGCATTCCGGTGTTTAGTTTCGATGCTTCTCGAGCTACCGCTATCATGATCATAGATAGGATTCATTGATCCTTTGAAGTAACTCAAATCACTACTGCCATACTGAGGAGTAGCATCACCACGAGGCTGTCGTGGTGCAGGGGATGCATGAGATACTGCAGGGGAATGGCGTGGGGATGGACTGAGGAGTGCCAATGGCCCTGGAGAATTGGCATAGTACTGGCTATATATTGAACGTAGAATGGCATAAGGAACATACGGCTCCAAAGAGCTTCTTGGAAGGTAAGGTGAGACCTCACATAGTTGATCAAGAAAGATGAGTTGGGCTACAAGATGAGATCTGTAGGAAAAAGAAGTTAGTACCTACAAATAACCACTGGCGACCAATATTGGACATGAGAAAGACGAGGGTAACCTACAAATTTGGTCCTTATAATTTAGGCCAATTTTCAATTTAGCCCTTGTAGTTTCAAAAGTTTCCCAATTTGGTCCTTATGATTTGGGTTTTATTTCAATTTGGTCCTTATGGTTTGGTTAAATCTCATGAATTGTCCATGTTGTTACTATATCACGTGTGTTTTTCAATTTGGCTAAGTGTGTTAGCCACCTTAGTAGGTTTTAGATTTCGGTAAAAATAGAGGAAAATGAAAGAATTTTCAGGTGAATAAAAAATGATTTAAATATGATTTGTGAGGTTTAACCAAGCCATAGGACCAAATTGAAAAATAGCTGAAACAATAGAGATTAAATTGAAAATTTTAAAATCATATGGATCAAATTGAAATTTTTGAAACCATTGGGGCTAAATTGAAAAATGAGCTCAAGCTATAGGAATCAAATTTATAATTTAACCAAAAAAAACTAAGCTTAGACTCCTGAAGGTTTTTAATTTTTAAAACAGGGTTTGAGTTAGCATCAACATAAACTAAGAAATAAATATGAAAATTTGGATGACCTGTTTGTTTCACTCCATGAATCTAAAATGATCCCAGCGGCAAGTTTTACGAAGAGCTGCATTGTAGACTTTATACTTGCTTCAACGGATGTAATACTGTCGGCCTCAGAATTCAATGTTCCACCAACATGACCATTTTGAAAGGTCTGTCTCTGCTCATGTTCACGATCCAATCTCACATACTCACTTCCAGCAATCACTGCAGTGATGCACCTGCAACCAGATTTAGTTGAGTTGCGCAAGCGAAAAGAAGATCCAGATTGAACACAAAGCTATGTTGGAAGAAGCTAGAACAACATGCTATTAGTTGTGATGGAATACTTTTACAAATTAAAATGTATCGCACCAAAATTCACGTGCGTTTGAACTTGGAAACAGTTATTGTAATCTGTAAGATTAACAGGTCATATGCCAGCTCACCTTGCCAGGCAATGGATATTACTGTTGAAGCCTCCCGTATCAACATTGAAGGCGGTTAAGTTCCAAATGTTAGAAGTCATAAAGGAGGCAAATAAATATGGTAACAAAGCCCACGAACCATCATTCGCACCCCCCACATCTTCCAAAATAGATCTTATCCACTGTGAATCATGATCAGAGATTACTGCAACACTGTTAGCCACTTCTCTCATCCTCCTAATATCCTTCCTTTCAGGTAAAGCATCGGGTATATGTTTAACAAACCCAGCTAATAATGAATAAATCAAGGATGCACTATCTTCGAGAACGATTCCAGCTGCTTCAGCTAAGTTCTTATCAAAAGCCAGAGCTAGACCTGCTTGAATACAAAATCCAACTACTGTCTCCATATCAACAATTTGTTTGATAGATGCATCTCTTTCAACTCGGTCACCAGAATGAAGACTGCTGGCAACCGACTCTAGCACCTCATGGTTAGACCTCAACGATGTGTCAATGCAGTTTAAAAGTGCAGCTGTATGTTCTTTTAGCATACGCTCTAGCTTATCCACTCCATAACCACCAAATATGCGAACAAAGGCCTGTAGTTCCCTGGCATCTGTGACAGAGTCAGCAAAATATCCACCCACAGGCCTTGTACTCTTGAAGCATTTGTGAACTGGTGCAAATAGAATTCCAGCACCTGAAGTATCCTTGATTATATTTTCAATGTACCAGTTACAGACAGCTTCAGCTGCTGACCCTGTCTGTTGCTCTGCTGGCTTCTCAAATAAGTGCAGAGATGAAACTGGACCTGAGCATGCCTCCGCAAGCAAAACTTCTCGTATTCCCTGGGTAAGGTCCATGCTAATATGCTGCTCTGCAAGATGGACAATGCTGATATGCCGACGAATCAGAGATTCTAAAACAGAAGGTCGCTGAAGATCATTCTCGGTTTTTMTTACAACAAGTAACCTCCTCCTGAAGTTGCCAAGGATGCACTCTCTCATATACTGCAACAAATAATTTGTGAGCTACTATGAAATTGCACGATCCATTCGCATAATGCATGATTCTAAAAGAATTATCAAAGTTGAAATTGTTTACAAGACAAAGGTAGGAACTTTTAAAGAGAGTAGAATAACATAATAAAACAGTATTTCTTTTGTAATTGTTTGTGTTTAAGTTGTTTTGGTTGTTTTTATTTTCCGTTAATTCTCTATCACCCAGTTTGTATCTTTGAACAATTTTTATTCCTTTTCATAACTTCAATGAAAAGTTCGTATCTTGTTAAAAAAAGAAACAGCGAAATATACTTTGTAAACGTTCTTGTATCACTGAGGTCGTGGTTTCAAGTTCCTTAGAGATTACCAACTCAACTTATTAAACCTCACAAGTTGATTGACTACCAATGTTTTAAACCTCACGAGTCCATTGACTACCAAATGTTGTTATTATGTGTTGAAAAWTTTTTCCTTCTTTAGACTTGTTGTTACTTCTGCATAATTTCTATTTCGTATTAATTTCGCACTTTTATTTTGGAGAGTTTGAATTCTTAGGAAAAGCAATCATGTTTAGAATTTGAACATAATATTTCAACTTCAGATAAAGACATCAAATGAGTTAAACACAAATAATACTAGTACTCATCCCAGAAGAAACGACACAAGAAGTTGAGTTATGTAAGAATATTCATATTTTCATTCAGCAAATATTTTTAGATGCCCTGTTTTAAGAGATGACGAATGAGAGAGGATGTTTTAGAATATCTTGAACTCTTTCCTCACCGGGACATTCTAGTCACTATTCTAGAAGATTTGATGATATTTTAGTCAAATGTCTAAAAGAAATTGTTCTCTTTCTACATCTCAGTCTGCATCATGATATTTTGGTCAAGTGTACTAAAAAGAGAATCTGTTTTTCTTCTAGTTTTCAAATAATTCGTCCTTAGTTTTTAAAAGATTTCATACCAGGTAGCACATAGACTAGAATACTAATAAAATTCTTTTATTCTCTAACCCCATGTACTAGAAAAGGCAAGTCCGTTCCATTTCCCTAAATATACTAGGAAAAAGACCTGTCAATATCTTTGTCAAACACAGCCTCCTCTTATTTGGCTACTTTCTCACGAAAATGAATATAAAAAAGCATGGAGCTGATTTTAAATGCTCGTGGAACTGTGACATTACTTGCAACTCATCATGACAATTGGAAGACTATAGAAGGAAAAATAAAAGATATGAAAAGCAATCATATCATACCTCCCTCAGCACAAAAACGTGATTTAGAACACATATAGGCTCCATATCATTCAGAACAGAACATAGATTGGTCAACCTTTGCATTGCAGCTTCAAGCCTGTCAGAGGAAATTTGATAAGACTATGATCGTTTCATTGAATGGTAAAACTAACAAAGCATTATAAGATAGTTTATTTATGTACTTATTTATCTATTTTTCATTTGAAACACAAAAGCATTGGTGACAGTAACAAATAGGGTATAAAAACTTCCAGACAATATCCTCCACCAAAAGAACTTTGTTAAATTTGAAACAGATATTATTTAGACAAAAATGATCCGTTGCTAAACTGCTGATAAGTTTATATTTTTTATGTTATCCCACAAGCAATGAGGTATTTCAAATTTACCATAAAATATTTATTGATTCCTTTCAAGCTATGTTGATCAAAACCCGGGAATCAACCAAAACTGTAACAAAGAAAAACAGCTTACATTTTGATTGAACCATTATTTTCAGGATAGCTTTCATAGCCAGGTAAGGGAAAGCCAGCTGCTCCTTTTGGAGATTTATTTAAAGGAATTGAAGCTCTCGAGGCATAATTTAGAAATGAAGCTACTTGCTCCGGCAGAAGCTGAAATATCTTAAAGCATTAGCCTCAAAAAATGATTATTTAAAGAAATAAAAGATAGAGAGAAATTTGGATAGTCAAATGAGAATGGTGCTTAGAGTGCTGGATATTGCAACAATATAAAAGTACCTGAATCTCTAAGGCACCAAATCCTCCTTCAGAATCAAGGATGTTAATTAACCCCTCCAAACCACCCATAATAGATTCAATGAGAGATTCTACATAGAGCACAGCGTCCCTGCCGATTCTGGTGACCTGCCATGCACTTCCAATCACAAAGGCTTCTACGACATATTTGATAAAGTGTGTAATAAGGCAATGTAATACTAGGTGGATATTAATTTGAACCACATCAAACCCGCAAGATAATAGTGATCATGTGACTCATAATCACCTTACAAAATTTCACTAAGACAAATTATAAAAATATTGAAAGAAATATCCGCCTGTCAATGGGGAATTTCCAACTCTCATTCCTCACTCATTCTCTGCCTTTAAGATATCCACATAAACCTTAAATCCAACAAATCTGCAATTAATCCTTCACAAGATGCTAAAAGTGTTGTATATGTACATTGACATTTACTATATAGTTCTCATTCCAGTTGAGAGAGGAATTTTTCTTTTGGTAGGAAACATGTATTTCATTGATAGTATGAAATAACCAGATTACAAGAAGGGCTTCCAATTAGAGACAAGGACATTTAGAAAGTAACTATTGAAAGGGGAATAAAAACCTTTATTCCATTCTAGTCGAGAGGATTTTAAGAAGACGTGTCATTTAATGAGAACACAAAAGTGAACAACTAATTGCATTTTCCTTTCTGTGACCATTGAAGGCTTCTTGTTCACACCATGTTCCACTTGTCTAAATGTTTTAGAACGATACACAAAAAGTAAGAAAAATATTCAAGGATACAAATTCAAGAAAGAAAATTGTTCAAGAATACAGACTCCCGAACATAACAAAAGAAGACAAAACAGCCAAAATTAAAGAAGGCATTTGGTACTATTCCAAGTTCCAATGACAAGGCAAAAGATCAAAGGAGGCCACATTGGAGCAGGCACATATTCACTTGCAGCAGTTCCCACACTTTCACCTTTGAGGCCAAGGTGGGATCTTGGGAGGGGCTATTGTTAAGCCTCTGATACATTACACAGATAAGAAGACAAAAGTGGATGAGGGGAAGAATAAGAAATAATGCAGGAAGAAGGGAAGTTATTAGTTTCGGTTACAGAGAAAGTTGTATATAGAGCATGAAATTGCATCCTAGAAGGTGTGGTAGATTTGGATTAAAAAAAAAAAATGGCAAAATTGTCCAAGGGTTTGGAGGTATAAATTGAAGGGAATGTGATCCTTGAAGAAGAGAAGGTAGGTAGGGCTCTTTAACACTCTGCCAAGTACATTTCTGAGTAAAGTTCATCCAGTTTCGCTTGCCTATCACTTGATGTTTATCTCTCCTTCTATCTCTCCTGCATAATTGATAGGGCAGTAAAGTTGCCTATCCTTTTCTCTTCATTTATCTCTCTCTCCCCTGCATAATTGATAAGATAGATTTAGAGAATCCTATCACTTAATTGCAGTTTAACTTTTGCATCATAGTTGTTACCTCCGTCTGAAGGATATCAATTCATTTGATCTTGAATGTCAATAGACTATATATACCTTGAGACTTGCTGAAATTCAAACTTGGCCAAATTATTGTGCATGTTCAGCCTAAACCATTCTTCAATGTACTTCCCACAGTTCTTGATCCTTGATGACAACTTAATTCAGAACAATTGCCCATAATTAGTTGGTAGGAATCTTTCCTTTAGAAGTCGTCACATCTTAATCTTAAGCCATGTGAACAACTGGCTTGCTCATTCTTCTTCCGTGAGCATGAAGCTGGTTCCCACCAAGTTTGAGGGACCGGATTTCAGCTTATATGCTACAGATTTGATATTTATTTCATTTAGCATATCTACGTAATAGCAGAAGTTCTTAACCTATTTAAAGCCAGTCCAAGAACTCATCCATGTTGAGGATTCATAAAATCCAAGCAGTTCAACTTCCATGCAGTATACCGGTTACTAGAGCTTCATATCGACTCGTCCCAAGCCTTATTGACTTTTTATATCAACTTTTGCATCATTCTTCATCATTTAAGTTGGAGCCATCAGATGGGGTATCTCTTTATTTTTTGTGGTTCTTGGTTTCTTGCCGCTTGTCCAACAATCTTCTATTTGAAAGATCATCTTGCATTGCTTATGCTTGGACTGTTGGTCTTTTGTTAAACTAAATTTTCTGGAAAATATATTGGAGTCCTTGTATAAGTTGCTTTAGATTCCCTTCAATGGTCGTGATCGAGGTCAAGTACAGCTGATGAAACAAACCATGATAGGAGAACTGTTTGTCTCCAACAGGTTCTTGTTTCCATTGAAGACTTTCAAGGAGCACTGACACCAACTTTGGTGTAAAGAATACTTAAAGGTTAATAAATTTTTATTAATATCAATATTACTCAACTGCTAATACAATCCAACCCTGTTTAGAGGCTTCCAGGTTGTTAAATATCTAGGGATGCTTCCTTCTAAAATAGAAAATTAAAAGTCAACCTAGATGTTCGAGCTAGGAATTTGATAGCAGGGAAAAGCAAAAAAGAAGATGTGTCAAAAAGTTACCTCCTCTGGGACAATTGGAGAAGCACACTCGGGAAAACTACTAGCAATGCCAAGCCATGCACAGCAATGTTGAGGTCGCCCTTCAGGTCCAAACATTGTATTTCTGAAGACCTTTCAGAAAACAGAGGCATATTAATTAGCACATTATCAGCACATTGACGAACTAAACACAATAGTCAAAATACAACTGCAGGTAATAAGAACCATGGAGTTCTTGAAAACAAAAACTCACTGTTGCAAGGTGCTGGTGGTAGAAATAAAGCTTTTTAAGACTTCCGTGCTTTGATAATTGGGATTCTAGCTCGTCAACACATCTGCAATGACACAGAATATGAATGTCACTTTTTTATGCTGCAAGCGGCTAGATATCTGTTCATTCTTTTCCTTCCTTTTTCAAATTTTTTGTCATGAGAAACCCAGTTTTCATTAAAATGGATGAAACTATAAAAGAGATTGAGAGAGACCTTAGCACCAAAGAAGCAGCAAAAAAGATTCTACTGAAGTAAGCGTTTAAAAAATCATATAAGGCAGAAGCACAAAGAAGTAAATACAAATAACTTCCAATTATCTACAGACAAGAACAATGGATATCTTTAAAATCAGAACACGTGAACACTCAAAGTGAGGTATTAAATTGAATATAAAGCTCCACCTCCTACTCAAAAAGCATCTATCCCAAAACTCTCCTATTATGTTCTAGCCAAATCGTACCTTTAAATGAATCTTTTAAGAATCTCAATATTGTATCAATGGCCAAAATAAGCTAGGAAAAAGTTGATAAATGAAAGTAAATTTTGACATAAAAATTTCTTACGATTAAACATATACCTTCTAGCACCAAGTCATGATGATTGTTGTATTTTTGTTTCACTAACTTATACTCTATTGCTCCTTATTAAAAGATTGCATAAATTAGGATACTTTGAAATTTTTAGCTCTTATCTGACCACACCTCCATTTTTAAGAAGGAAGATTGAATATTACCGATGAGGCTCCTAAGAGAGATACTGTCATGCAAGAAATTGAACAATATCAAATTTAGACTACTCAAAGCATTCAATAGAATTTTGATCAATAGAACTTAAGCAATGGTAGGGTTACAAGCCAGTTACAATGCTGTGTTATAGGTAGATAAAGTACCTGGACCAGTTATATGCAGCATTTCCTTCTGATAATAAGCCCTCTTTCCCAGTGGAGACAGTTGCCTTCTCCAAGTGTCTAATGTTAATAGAAGACCGGGAAGATGTGACAATCATCAATACTGACAGCCAATCCTTTCGTAAGTCCTATAAATGAAGATAACTACCATTTCAAAATCTGCTAGCACATAAGAATGATAAATATTAAACAAGGAATGTAGACGCAAAAACTCCTCAACTTTAATTACCTCTATTATGTACCATTTGAATGGTTAGACTAATTAGCTTCTTTAGAATTATTCATATTTTTTTTCCTTCAGAACACTTGGATGGTTCGACCCAATCACAGTAGGAGATACTTAAAACAATTTAACAACTTTATAGAGATTAAACTAAGAGACACACAAAGAAAATTCAAATATGGTGAGAAAGAGAAATAAGAATAATTTCTGTATAGAAAATGCAAGGAGTGCTGCAACTAAGGCTTTGCAGCCATTTATGAAACCGGTGCATCAGTCTATGCTGCTACTATCTGTTTTATGCTACGATCAGTTGTGAAATTTTAGGTGGTTGTATTCATACTCATGAAAGCATGAGGAGAAGTTGTAGTTTATTTACATGATTGTGTAGCTCTTCACATACGACTTCTCTAAAATTGTTTATTGTGCTATAATTCCCTTTAGAGCCATGCCAAAAGTTTAGAGATGCTAGAATAAACACAGTTGACCTCATTGGTCCAAAAAGTATTTTTGTAATTAGTTTTGGTTTAGGGATGAGAGGATGTTTTATCTTCCTCCTCTTACTTTCTATATCTTTCTCTTGAGATGCGTAGTTTGTTTAAAAAAAAGTTACAAAAATAATAATAATATACGAGGAACATGAACATCGCCAAAAGAGCATGAATACAGAAGCTAAAAAGAACACATTAATGTGCAAAACACTTCAAACTTCCTCTGAAGAAAATACTCATCTTCATCATGAGCTAGATTTTAAGGATTAGTTGCCAGTAAATTGAATGAAATCAATACTTAACAAATAAACATGTGCAAAACTTCTAAAATGCTAACATGTGAGCATAGCTCATACTTGAAAATGATCATGCTTTTCAGAGTCAGTGACTTCATTAAGCCTTATGGAACTTGGGCCTTTTTTTTTAACAAGAAACAAATACAGTGAGATTATCCTTGTGATTATGCTACGTAAAATCCAGGTTAAGCAAATAAGTTACAATAAATATAATTATTTATCAATACTTTAATATTCCTTCTCATTTGTGGGTTTGAAAATTTGCACAAAACCCAACAAGTTGTTATCAATATTAAATGGGGCAGAAATGAGAATAACAGGAGTTTGAACACAAAACCTCCTGCTCTAATGTCATGTCAAATCACTACTAAACCCAAAAGTATGAGTTTATGGACTAGAGTAAATTTAATTATTTATCATTACTTTAACCTGCTATAAACAGATTGCACCTACCAAATTACCAACTAAAATATAAAGTCACTTCAGTATACTGTGAACGTTTGTAATATTAGGAAAAAGAATGTCAAAATCTAGAAACTACATCTTTGTTTATGTTTTCTATAACATATACAAATAAAGTTCACAGTATTTTTCAAGATTGCTTACTGAGAGATCACATGTGAGTGTAGATATGTTTTCGCCCTGTGGCTTAGGTATGCCTTCAAGGTGAAGAACAATTTGCTGAAGAAGCCCCTTTAAACTGGCATCTAAGTCGAGAGCCACCATTCCAGGAGTACCCAACAAAAACCGGATT